AATAAAAAATAAAAAAAAGCAAAGATTGGCAATTATTGATTTTTTGAAATCACCTTCAACAATTGCAAAAAGAGACTTGGCAGAAGTCATCTGGCAGAGGAACAACTGACTCTGACCAAACTGCAGCAAACCAAGGCCAGACATGAGATTCGCCTCTTAAAGGCTTTGCTCAGACAAGCTGGTCTCTCCACATCAGATGAGGAAGTCTGAACTTATTGTGGAGTTTTTGACATTAAGTCTTTTTTTTATTATTTACATCTATATTTAAAACTTATTGTAAATACCTCAATGTACAGTGTTTGTGTTGCAGGTTGCAGATGAGCGGACTGCTGGAAGAGGATGGGGTGGGGTTTTTATTGTTTTTGGTTCAAATAAAAATAAAGTTATATTGACCCCACACTGGCTATTCTACTTGTTGCTCTTTACATAGGCCTATCTATCCATCTTCATTGTGATTGAGCCCTGGTAATCCAGATTAAGTGATCCTGAAAAGTTTCTATCCGGAACGCAAAAACGGGACTACTAAATCCTGATCAATTTTATGCGGATTAAACCTTTTGAAAAACCGGGCCCAGAAGATCTGATACTGGAATCAAATGCTCAATAAATGCTAGTAAACCACCAATCGCTGGCTAACAATGGTACAGTGTAGCACCCAAAGACAAGCACAAAGCACACGATGACAGACAGTGGCCCCCTTGGATTAATGAACAATAGCATCATTCACTGTACCCATGACACTGCTCTACAGATCAGCTGTAAATGAGAGATTTAAAGGAAAGTAAATGGAAAAAGTCTCTTATTTACTCGCCCTCAGGCAAGATGTGAACATTGAACCACTAGGAAACGAGGGTTTTGGAGAGAAAAAAAAAACATTCCAGAAATGTTCTCCATCTGATGCAAGTGAACTTTTATTTTAAATTGAACTGAATTTCTGATGGACTCAAATCCATTAAATCCCAAGAAACTTACATAGGGAGTCTCTTGCAAAACAAAACCTATACATTCATCCGTCATGTTTTATGAGATGGTTCAGTTCACAACCTCTCATGGGACAAATTTGAAAGGTCATGACAAAGACGACAAGGTCCACTGATAACAAGTGTGGAGAGAGAGTGTTGTTCAAAAGTTCAACAGTGTTTTATAGTTGTGTCATAGGCTTGTTAAAAATGTCTGGAGGGGTTTGGATGTAGACCTAGTGCAGTTGCAAGCTAATGCTTTTAATGCGCACACCTAACCCTACCCCTCACAGTGACGTCATTAGCTCCATTGAGTGCATTGTATTGCAAGTCAAATATGTGCAGTCTCAGCTTGCAGATTTAAGTCTGCATTCAGATACTATTGAAAATGTGTCAAGGTTTACTTAATTTCAACGCTGACACAAATAACTTAAACTGGGAAAAATACATATATAATACAGGGCTATAAAATATGCAGACTGTAAAAAATTCTGGGTTCCACACAATTTCTTCATGTTGCCACAACACAAATGTTATACTTTTTAATAAATTTAAGTGGGCCGAACATAAACCAAATAAGCTGTCCACAAACAAATCATTTTAAAGGGCACCTATTTTTCCCCTTTTTAAAGATTTAATAGAAGTCTTTTGTCTCTCCAGAATGTGTCTGTAAAGTTTCAGCTAAAAACACCCATCAGATTATTTATTATACCTTTCAGAATATTGGATTTTCTGCTCTGAACACAATGTAGCTGTTTTTGTTGCCTTCAATGCTAGTTCTTCCCGCCCACCATTCCCACGTCTGTCGGAGTGTGCCTCACTCCGCCTCGGTTTCATCAGATAACCAGCACAGTGACAGACATGAAAGAAGCAGATATCACATAACATTTGTGAGAAATACTACAGTAAGAACTTTCCCAATGATTATTTATTTGATGTATTTGTTGTGGAATTAATTCAAGCTTTTCTGTAACGACAAGTCACACACAATGCAGTTACAAAGTTCACACACACACACACACACACACACACACACACACAGCATGCAAGTTTGACTTGAACTGTTTTTGCATGGAAAATGTGACACAACATGTTAATATCTACTGCTGTATGGTCGTTCCTTATGTTAATATACAAAGTAAACCTGATTTAACGTCCACAAACTGGAATTGGAAGCATCTTCTTTTATAATTGTTCTCACATGCGCCTGTGGTGATGAATTACATCAATTTTACTGTATTTACCTGTGTTACAAACATGCAAAAACATGTTTTAAAAATGTTTTTAAACTAAAAAACTTATTCTTGACCACATTTGATGATGATTGATGATCACAGGATCACAGCGAGCTGAACAGATCTTTTAAACCCGGTTGCTTTGCATACGTTCTGCCTTGTTGATATGATTATACGTGATACTACAGAGACATGTTAATACACGACTGTCAATCAATTCGGTGGGCAGGGATACCGCACTTCTGTCATGTTGTGGTGGGCCTCAAAATAGGAGGGGGATTTGGATCCTATTTTAGTGTCAGGATATTTGAAAAAATAATAGTTTATTGTGCTTTATATCACTTCAATATGACTGTGGACACACTATACCTACACACAGTTATGTCTAAATGGCTTCCAAGAGAACATTTCATTCAAGGTGCCCTTTAAATAGGTTTAAACAAGCAGTAAAAGTAATTTTTGAGTGTAAGTAGGTCCCACACAAGCAGCCACAGCTGTAATCATTTAATTTCATATACAGGCGATCTGTAAAAATAAAAACACCACATTTTTCACCCTAGCAGGGGTCACATGACCTTCCCCACATGCACGTCTTCTCACATGCACTGAACACAGTGGGGAACTAAATTTGTTGTGAACAAATTTCATAGGGGCTTAATCAGCACTTAATTTAAACAATATAAATTTTTAGCTTTGTGTAAAAACAACTCACTTATACAGTTTGCTTTTAAACACAGTAGTGTAGATGACAGAGACAGATTAATAAATAGAGACAGAGATAGATAGTTGCACTTTATTCTAAGATGTCATTGTCACCGTGTAACTATACATTTAAATATTGAGTAATAATTAACTACATGTACTTGCGGTTAAGATTAGGTCTAGGGTTAGTTGTATAATTATGTGCATTGTAATTATTATAGAAAGTATATAAAACATGTAACAAGGAAACCTTAAAATTTATATTTTTGAGTGAACCGTTTCTATAAAGTTTGTTGAAAGTTCTGAAACAAAGAAAAGAAATCTGAGCATAACGGACATTTTGAAGGAAAACTAAACAGCTTATGATTACAACCCCCCATATGGACAATTTGCAATTACTGACAAAACAGTAATTTAAAAAACTCATAACTTAAACGGTGTGTCTTAGACAATGACTGCTTTTTTATTTATGACCCTTTCTTTTGTAAATGCCCTTTACTGCATAATCATAACATACTGCAGTTTACTTAACCTGTTCAATTCCACATCCTCATCTTTTTATTGTATGAAGATCATTAAAGCCTCTGTAAATCTAGCAGAAAACAGAAATATCTCCAAACACATGGAGGAAATGGATTGATTACTTGTTTATCACTCTGTTGTCCCATTCTCTCGATCCACTATCTGTAATGCTTTGGCAGTGCGTACACAAATATGCCTTTTACATGAAGTATTATGACAATGTCTTTTACTGCAAGAGTGTGTCAGTGTTGAACTGAGCAGCTGTTCTCTATTAATATGAAGCTGATGTTTATTGCCATCACTTCAGATCACAGGGAAATTGCACAATAAAGCGGTAAGTGTATTTATTTTGTTGTAATTTTTTCAAAGCGAGTTCCCACAAACTGCACTGCAGGTATCTGAACAAAAGAGCAAAGATGCTAGAAAAGACCCAATAAAAACAGTAGAGTGCCGAGTGTGGTAATGCTCACAATGATCCATAGAATCCATGAAAAAATCCACTTAGATTGTTCAATTGTTCAAATCGAGCAGCAGAATGGGAAAGAAAGGTGATTTAGGTGACATTGAACGTGGCATGGTTGTATGGAAAATATTCAGTGAGCGGCAGTTCTGTAGGCAGAGGAGAATGGCCAGACTGGTTTGAGCTGACAGAAAGGCAACAGCAACCTAAATAACCACTCATTACAACCGAGGTATGCAGAAGAGCGTTTTTGAATGCACAACATGTCAAACCTTGAGGCAGATGGGCTACAGCAGCAGAAGACCACACACCAAGTGCCACTCCCTCACCAAAATTGACCAATAGAAAAATGTTGCCTGGTGTGATGAGTCTTGATTTCTGCTACGACATTCGGATGGCAGGGTCAGAAATTGCAATTCAACAAGATGAAAGCATAGAATTATCCTGCCTTGTATCAACAGTTCATGTTGATGATGGTGGTGTAATGGTTTGGGGGATATTTTCTTAGCACACTTTGGGCCCATTAGTACCAATTGAGCATTGTGTTAACACCACAGCCTACCCGAGTATTGTTGCTGACCATGTCCATCCCTTTATGACCACAGTGTACCCATCTTCTGATGGCTACTTCCAGCAAGGTAAAGCGCCATGTCATAAAGCGCGAATCATCTCAGACTAGTTTTTTTTAACATGACAATGAGTTCACTGTTCTCAAATGGCCTCCACAGTCACCAGTTCTCAATCCAATAGAGCACCTTAGGGATGTGGTAGAATAGGAGATTCGCATCATGGATGTGCAGCCGACAAATCTGCAGCAACTGCGCAATGCCATCATGTCAGGACTTTTTCCAGTATCTTGTTGAATCTATGCCATGAGGGATTAAGGCTGTTCTGAAAGCAAAAGGGGTCCAACCCAATACTAGTAAAGTGTACCTAATAAAGTGGCCGGCAAGTGTATAAATAAATAACAAAAGCTTAAGAGTAAATACAGCTGAGATAAGACACATGAAACCTGGGCTGCCTTTTTTCTTGTTTGATTTTGAATGAATAAAAGATTTTCCAACACCGGTGTATTCAAATTTCCATTCTTTAAAACACAAATATGCTTCTACACATACTTTTACTTTCATTTGTATTTATTTAACTCAATGTTGTGCTGAGACGATTGTTATAATTATCCTGCTCAAACATGGCTTTACATACATGGATTAGTTACTTAACAAGTGTGAATGTTAGTACGCATCTTTATCAAGCATGCATTAGAGCACGTCACCTGAATATGTTATAAAAATTAGATACAAAGACTTAAGAAAAACATCTTTACTGTATAAACAAGTCACCAACCCTATACACAGTCAATTTAAAGTACAGTTATGCACATCAAATAAAGACTCTTGTGATTGTGAACGTGACAACACTCTGAAAGTGAAACCCAGGCATGAACAGTAAAGGTCTTTGGGAAGTTTTGTTGAGTCTTGAAGTATTAAGCAATCTGCTACAATGTTTAAAACAAATCAGTTCTTTGTCTGCACACCAGTGCGTTCAAATAAACAGAAAAAGCCTTATTAAATTAAATCCTGTGCAACTTTCAAAGACAGTAACATAAGAGACATCAATATATGCATTTAGACATGAGGTATGCTGCTCAATTTTTGGATTCTATATACATATAACGATGAAAACCTTTTTTCATCCTTCAAGTTGCAGTCTTGCTCACATATAAATGTAAACTAACACAACTAAATTCTGATTACAAATGGAGGCAAGCTATTGATCCAGATGGTTTACTAGTAAAAGATACTGTACAAGATCTTAACACATAACAATTTGAAACACTGGGAGAGGGGATATTGGTGGAAATGGAACATTTCTCGGAACAAATTCCAAACATGACTTACTAGATAAAAAAAAAAAAAACTAAAATGCAGAATCATCTTCCCATGGGTGAGAAGCAGCCCACAGACTGCTGATTTTTAATGGTCAAATGACTCATTTCTGATGCAGTCCACACTCAAGTCCTCTGAAATATGAAAGTGACTGAAGAGTTGGAAAGGATACGAGCTCACAGCCCTGCTCTATCAGTGCTAAAATAAGGCACAAAATGCCTGCCAATTAAAGAGAATCTCATTATATAGTGCACTGTGCATTGCTATAAGATGGAGAAGTTCAAAATACTAAAACTGCACCAAAGTTCTTAATTATAATAATATGTTTTATATTTAATAAAAACTACTTGCTAATCTGTTTTCATGCGAGATTTTTGCTGGAGGTTTATACAACCATCTTCTCACTTTTACCTCTTGGAAGATCTTTAGTTGCTCTGTGTAGTAATTTTTTTAATTACCTAAGCTCCAACAATGGAGAAAAAAACAAGTACAGTCTGTGAAAATGCAAAACAAATGACAACTAAATTAAAAAATAAATTGGGATTGGGTCTTTTATGAGAAAACAAAAATCATTTCAACATAACAAAAGAATCCCTGAGGAGTAAGAGCCTTTAAGATGCTTTTTAGTTGGTTTATTAAATACTTACTTCAAACAAAAAATGGAAATTTAATCACCATTTACTCACCCTTAAGTGGTTCCAAACTTTAGTTAATTTTTTTTTTTTTTTTTGCTGAACACAAAGGAAAATATTTTGAATTCTGAATACTTGTTCCCAACAGGTTGATGGTCCCCAGTACTAGAGAAAAAGTATTATGAAAGTCGATGGTGACCAGCAATGGTTTGGTTACAGATCCTCAAAATAAATGTTATGTTCATCAGAAGAAAACAAAGGTGAGTAAACAACGACATGCTTTTTTGTTTTGGTGAACTATTCCTTTAAGTACATAAATCAATCCTTCAATGTTAAAAAAAGAGATATTTTTAGGAAGCTGATTTATGGTAATACATGCACAAATCTTGTGCATACATGCCACTAGTTTCTAAGGTATAGTTAATCCAAAAAATAAAAATGTACTTAGCATTTACTAACCCTCAAGTGGTTCGAAACCTTTATGAGATTCTTTTTTCCACTGAACAAAGGACAATTGTTGGCAACCAATAGTTATTGACTTCAATAGTAAGAAATGTAATACTACTGAAACCAATGACTTCAGGATGTTAAAAATCTTCTAAATATACTTATACAAGGTTTCTGCAGGTTTCTTTGAGTCAAATTTAAGACCCTTTTAAAAACATTATGAATGACATTTTAGACTTTCACAGGGCTAAACACTAAGAAGTTTTTCGAATAGTTCTTGTATTAATGGAAGATCATGTAAACGGATGTGTTGCTTTAGTTTTCTTTCTCTGCTTAGGGAATTTAATTAGGAAAAGTTGCTGTAAACAGTTGCTGTTTAACAGTTGTTGTGACTCATTTTGCAGTAAAAACCTATATACATATAAGTTTCGAGAAGAATTATTGGTGATTGGGCAGCTTTATTTGGACATAGGAAAATTAAAATTATGATTTAAGACCTACAACAAAATATTTAACTGAATTTAAGACTTTTTAAGACCTAAAATTTAGTTTTTGAAATTTAAGACATTTTTAAACCTTGCGGACACCCTGTCATAAAAGGTTTGGAACAAGTTGAGGCTGAGTAAATGACAGAATTTTAATTTTTGGACAAAATATCCATTTATTTCACATTCAAATGTCCACATATGTTCTATTCAAAAGAAAGAAAAACCGTCTGTTCAACCAAAAGAACCAGCTTTGTGATCAAGTCACTGGGGTGCAGATGCACATGTAGTGTTTCTGTCCCGCTAATACAGCATCATAATTCTTTACGAAAGTGGTTTCAGCTGCACCGACTGGCACAATGTAGTCTAATGACTGGCCATTAGTCTCTTTCATTACCTGTTAATTTATTCTCAGTGCTACAACTTTCTGCTCTGTCTGTTGTCATTCCAAGTCCAGCATCCCCTCTGAGAGCACGTCGATGGCTTTGGAAGCAGCTGAGGAGGAGCTTCCTGGCCCAGAGTCCATAAACATGTGAGGGATCTCACTTCCAAAGTAAATCTTGCTGTTAGCCGCTATTGCCTTAAATTTCATCAGCTGGAGATATTCAGGAGTCAGCTTGAGCTAAGAGAAGAGAAAGAAAAAAAAAGAAAGAGAAATAGAGAAGATTGAAAACATGTTCACTAAACACTGAGCACAACAATGATGGGTTCAAGTTCAGCAGTTTACCTTATTGGCCTCCGCTGCTCTCTGCGCTGAGTAGAATTCTGCATCTGCTTTTGCTTTCTGCCTAGCGAGGTACGCACTGTCTATAAAACAGGAATCAAACAAAATCAGCAAATCAAAGCAAAATCAACACAACAGTAACCACAGCAGCATTTGGATTTGTATGTTGAAAGATTGTCAGTGCCATTTATGTATATAAACCAATCCATCAATTTAAAAATAAAACAAAGAACTTTATTTTATTTATTTTTCATAAATCATGCACAAATCTTGTGCATCCAATTCCTCTAGCTTCTAAAGGTATAGTCTATTCAAAAGTGAAAATTTACTTAGCATCAGCAAGCAATGCACTGTCTATAAATCCAGCAAGACAAATGAAAGAACAAAATCAACACAACAGATACCACAGTAACATTTAGATTTGTATGTTGAAAGTCATCATCTGTCATTCTAATGATCATTTAATTTGGCTAATTTTCTACATTTTGATGTGAAGGTATAGTTCATCCAAAACTGTACTATTATTTACTTGCCCTCGAGTGTTTTTTTTCCTTCTCTTAGGCCCTGTTTACACTAGTGCGTTTTAGTTTTAAAACGGCATTTTAGAATGAAAACGATCCGCGTCCACACTCGCGTTTTACCTAGCGTTTCTGAACTGCTCTCAGTCCACACCAAAACGCTGAAAACGCACATCACGTGACCACACTCACACTCTCGGGCAAGCGCTGCAGCCCATATACCCAGATGAGAGCTCTGCTAGTCGGACTTCTCATCAAGCATCTCCCGCTGGATCTAATCTCACTATATTTATTAAACGGGATATTTCATTCATCTTGTTGTCTTTATCTAACGACATATTCCCTGACTTTGGGCATTGGAATCTATAACTTGTTCTCAGGTAACGTGTTTTGGCTGAGCGCAAAGATAAGTTAATGATTAATGTAACCACGTAGCCTACATTCTGTATATTGACTGATCGCTTGCCTTTAATTCCTAAAATGTATAAACTTATTGCATGTTATACTTTTATAATGGCCATTATTGATTATTAAAACTGATACTCAGCAAAAGAGAGGGTGTGTTTCGTATTTTCACTGAAATTGAAAGGAGGCAGTTGTTATCGGCTCCGTTTTGTTATAAATATCCACACAGTGAAGATGATGCCCATATATGCAGCACGACGCCTCAACATGTCTGCTGTCTAAGTTGCTAATATTAAAATGAAAATAGGCAGTTCCTTAAATCATGTTTACATTTTATTGTTGAGAAAGTGAAACAACGAAGCCAGGGTGATGTGAAGTTATAAAGTACACTGTTCCCTTTGAAGATTTACCCGTGTCCTCGGTATAGTCTGCTTTTCCATATCAATCTGAGAAGAAGATACTGCAGCCTTGATCAAACTTGCGAAGTCTGAACTTACAAGGAGAGAATGCAGGACTGAACTGTGCGTGTTAGGCTACTTAATATTCAGGAAAAGCCCCAATCAGAGAGGCGAACGTCTGCAGCCCCGCCTCTGTTTTCAGATGTCTCCTTTTTCCATCATCCACACTGAGACGGAGCAGCAGCGTTTCAGAATGAAAACGGCCTCTCCAGCGTTTTCGAAACGCTCCGTTTTCGGCGCTCGAGAACTCCGGCGTAGTGTGGACGGTTGGCGTAACCGTAGCAAAACTTATGCGTTTTCAAACTAAAATGCATTAGTGTAAACGGGGCCTTAGAGGTGCAGTATATAGTTATGACATCCAGTGGTGGAACTAGGTATTGCATGCCTGGTTGAAAACACACACAAGCGCTGGTTGCCAGATTGACAACACCAACAGGAGTCTTACAAGAGCCTGATTTAAAGCTGATTTAATTTGTGTTCTAACGAAAAGCAATGGCACACAATAGAAGGAATATTTTTCAAATTAAAAGAAGTTTTCGTCCTAACCAACACCTGAAATTAATATTTTAGAAACGACTTTTATTTCTTGCAGCTGAACAACAGGATAAACTATAATGTGCTTTATTCAGTATAAAATGCTAATATTGCGAGTTTGAATGCCATTTTACATGACATTTATTGCCATACTACTAAAAGCAGCAGCAGATAGTTCGCCTCAGATCTTAAAAATAAACTGTTTGAAATTGAACTTTAAAACTGTAAAAGCAAACCAACTTATTTCAGAGATTTAGCATGTACAATTAATCTGACGATAGCATTGTTTTTCAGATAAACAAGAATGTTCACTTAGCATGTTTCTTAAATATCTGCAAACACATTATGGTATTTTTTATGCTTTAGAGGAGTCAAAAACTTACATAAAGCACCTTTAAATGCAAAATTTGATATTTTGAGGAAAGATGACAACCAGTAATCATTGACCTCAATAGTAGGACAAACAAATACTATGGAAGTCAATGGTTCCAAATGTTCAAGACTTTTCAAAATACCTAATTTTGTGTTTAACAGAAGAAAGAAACTCATACAGGCCGAAACTAGTAATAGTAAACAATGGCAGAATTTAATCCCTTTATGATTTATTTATTGCACAAGCGAAAAATTCCAAATAACAGTGCTGTACTGAAATAAAGTGATTTGTATTCAGCAAGAAATGTGATCTGATTAAAAGAGAACTGCTGCATTCACGATATGTTATAATTATTGTATGAACAACTGTGAGGTTTCAGTGCAGTCAGAATATTACTGCCAAAATGAAAAATCAATAGACAAAAAAAAAAAAAAAACACAAAATAAGTAACATCCATAATTCACAAGTCTAATTAATATATAGAGGGCCAGATTTACTAAACAAGACAATTTTGTGCAAGCATATAAAAGTGCTGATGGGAGTAGAGTTTTGTGAGTGATCCATTAAAGTGCACAAATTAAACAACAAACAAAGTAGCTCATTTCCATAATGACCAACAAATCTACCAAGAGCAAAGCAAATTAAAGTAGGGTGACAAAAAAGCAAGCAAATAAGTGTAGTAAATCTACTAAGAGCAAATGTGTAAAATGGGAAAAAGACATGCTTTTTATGAAGTGTGGGGTGGGTGTGTTAGAAAGACATAAATACAAGTAGATAAGCTATGCAAAAAAACCTTGTTAAATCGCATTGCATAATTTGTCTAAACACTGCCCTCCAATAAATTTTGCGCCTAAAAGGTAAACTCCATCAAATGCATATATAGGTGAGCCGCAAAAATATTGTCCACATGCTTTCATCCTTGACTTTTAACACCATCTAAATGATCAATTGTGTAACACCAAAACAGTATGCAATGCAAGCTGATTAAAAAAAAAAATCAGGATATAAGATTTCTCTTCAACTAAAAAGAGCTCCTTAGTGCTTTCTAGGTAATTTATAAATTTTCAGATTAATACTGTGACGGGTAAGGTTAGGGGTGGGGTCAGGTGAGGACATTAAAAAGCATTGGATGCAGCTCAGATTGCACTGCACCAGGTCTGCATCCAGATCCCTCTCCTATTATTTGATGTACTTTCAGACCATACAAGAAGCAGATGACTTTTATCTTCAGTATAACATTACCATCCCTTTAAAAATCATAAAAACACACATGCAAAAACATTAATATCTGTAACTCCTGAAATACAGTGGGGTCTTATAAACTGAAATGATCATTCTGTGAAAGAAATGGAACATCTTTTACAAGATTATTACCAATTACCCAAGCAACAGCATTTGGTATCTTTTAGTTAATTACATTATTTTGTATAAATGTCAAAATAATTAACTGGCACAGTAGGTAGTGCTATTGCCTCACAGCAAGAAAGTCGCTGGTTCGAACCTTGGCTCAGTTGGCGTTTCTGTGGGGAGTTTGCAGGTTCTCCCTGCGTTTGCAAATTGGGGAGGCTAAATTGTCCGTAGTGTATGAGTGTGTGTGTGTTATGTGTGTGCGAATGTTTCCCAGAGATGGGTTGCGGCTAGAAGGGCATCCGCTGCGTAAAAACGTGCTGGATAAGTTGGTGGTTCATTCCGCTGTGGAGACCCCGGATTAATAAAGGGACTAAGCTGACAAGACAATGAATGAATGATTGAATTACATTATTTTGTACGTTATGTTTACTGTGTGATGACTGGTGAGTCAGATTTTTGAACTAAAAAGTACTTTACAAGGTTGTAAACAACCGGTTCACAGAAAAGAACCAGATTTAGATATTAGCCCATGTGGATTAAAGGTAACAATGTTGCAAAAATAGTCAGTTGCTTTGCTTCTTAAGATCATAATGTATCAACAGGAACCACAGGTATTACTCTTGTTTTGCCTGTAAATAGTTTTTTTTTTTATGTCCCAAAGGATTACTAATTAATGACTTTAATTATACGAATAATTATCTGAAGAATAAAAAATTTTTTGCGGCTGTGTAAATAAACAGTATTTTGTATTATTGGGGTAAACTATCCCTTTAACTGCAAAATCCACATCCATGAAGTCATAGTTGTCAGAAAAATCTTTCTAATTATGAGCTCTATTCTTTTTACAAGCTGGATGCTCGTAATTCCGGCACAAAAGTATGAACACATCTTAAACAGCTTTTATTAGGCAAGTGATATGAATGATCCCAGTTGAGCGTGCATGGTCCTTCAAAGGTACTATTTGTTTAATGTAGGGAAAAATGACTGAGACTGACGTTCTTGCACTTCAGCCAGAGCTGTCACTCCGTTTACAGCCAGCCCTCAAAACCCAGTTGAGTATTACAAAACATATTCTGGCCAGTTTCAATATCCGCTGGACAAATCAGAACAGAGGATATCCAAGTATGACAGTATATACACAACAGACCTTTTACTTGTCAAGCCAACATGGCACAGATACTGTACGTCTAAACAAAAAAAGTTCTGCAATTTAAATCTGAAAGCAGATTTTGATTTGGCTTTGTTTTTTTCGTCCAACACACTGTAGTAGATTTATCATTGAGCGTAACTGAGACCTCAATCATTATTAATGACCCATCATATGAGCTGTGCTAGCTATCATCCTTAAAGAGCTACTCATATACAGTAGTTGTATATTGTATTGTAAGTTTAAGAAGTTATGCAAAAACTTAAACATGAACTGCCTAAACATTTAAACCATTAAAATAGCTTCTTTGGCCCTTAAATCCACAATACACACTGTTATAATAAAAATGACAAACTATTACACGATAGTTCCAATGCATGTTTAGAAGAAAGAGTCACAAGAGTTTCGCTTGACGTTAGTTTAGAATTACTCATAGACTGTTCAAACCAATCTTCTAACCGATGTTAACATAAAAACCACAATACTTTGACTTTTAGTGAGTGTGATTTAGTTTGCTGGCTCAGAAAAGTCTATTTTCCCAGAATTGCTGTAAGAAGGTAAAGAAACCTGACCCTGAATAAACTGCACAGTAGAAAACAGATGGGCAGGCAGGCCAGACCAGACAGATCATTCCCACTAAATGGCTGTGTAGCTAATTCTATGCAAACAATAACACATAATTTGTATTCACATCATATGTTTTTTGGAGTGCAATGCTCTATTTCCTTGTAGCTTTATTTTTTTATTCTGTTTTACCTGATTTTTCACTTTAAGGAGACAAACTCCAAGACACTTTAAGCTTTAAAGCTAACAGACCATTTGCTTAACATGAACCTAAACTTAACAGCATGATTTGCCAGTACTGCACAGAATCTATTCTCTATCATTTTCTGAAGTGTTCAAGCGTGATGTTTTGAAACTGCACTAAAGGAATACTGATTATTATCAATGTTGAGCACAAACAGTTGCTGCTTTGTTTTTCTGGAACCTGTTTTTTCCCCACCTCAAAAATATAAAAAAGTTCATTTTATTAGTTCAGTCTATTTGAAACATATTTTGGTAACACTTTAGTTTAGGTCACAATTCATGCTATTAACTGCTGGCTTATTACCTGTCTATTAATAAGATGTTAACTGTTCATTAGCAGTTATAGAGCATGCTCTTACCCCGCATACCTAATCCTACCCACAACCTAAACCCAACTTTTACCCAACTAACTTTTAATAAACAGCTAATTAGTCATTTATTAAGTTTGTAGTGTTGTTAATGGTTTATTAATACATTGAATTGTGACCTAAACTAAAGTGTTACCCATATTTTTAATAATATTATAAATGTATTTATTGTCACTTGTTTATTTAATAATATGCTGAAGCATAAATAAAGACTGATATTTTAATAAGATGAAGGCCCACATGTCCATATGGTTAGTCTGATCTAGTTTTATTCTCCATGATTTCTTGGACCTCTGAACACTCGTGAATACACATTCACCTACCTTCAATTTGTGAGATCTTTTTCTCCGTTTCTTTTTCCATAACCTTTTGTCCAAATTTGATTTCAGCCACCTGAGCCACCTTCTCTGCCTCTGCAAACATGATAAAACAGAGTGACATTATTTCACTTTTATGTAATCGGAAACCAATTCACCATGATACAAGACAGACTCGGGTTTAATACTCAGAAAAACATCTTTGCTTACCAATGACAGCCTTTTTCCTCTCTGTCTCTGCCTCTTTCTCCACCACCTTCTGAGTCTGAGCTGCAATCAGTAACTTTGTTCTCTCACTCTCCCTGAGGAACACATGAACAAACACACAAAATATTAAACAAAGGAAAGTAAGAAATTATGTTTGGTTGAGCAGGATCACATCAGATGAAGTTGCACAATTATCAGATATATATGTTTCTGTTAGATGTGGTTCAAGTGTGAGAGAAAAACGTCCTCCTAATTCAATCACTGCATTATATAGAGCACACCAAATTACTGGCATGAATCTAGCAGGTATGTAAGCCATGCAGTTTCCAAAAATTACTAATAAAAGTGTTACTGATACTAATCTAGCTGATTTAGTGTTAGAGGGTAAAGTTTAAAGTAAAAAATATTGGTAAATAATTCTGATTAGATGTTTAACTTTGAAAAAAAATTACAAAACAGCAAGAATCAAGTATGATTAAGTAAAAAAACAAAAAACAAAAAAACACCATTCTTTTTTTGTCCTTTGTTCTGTTTCCTGCCTTCGTTTTCACAATATCTGTATCACCTGTTTGTGCATTTACAGTAGGTTCCTGTTTCCTCTAGTTCATTGCCTGGGGTTTATTCCAGAAAGCAAGTTTAACTTACTTTCACATTAATCCTAAATTCTATGGTGATTAACCTTAAACCTGCATACAGGTTAAGTTCAGTTAAATCATGTTATATTAACCTTCAACACAAAAGAGATTCCCAACAGCATGCCAAAACCATAAGTCATCATTAAAGCAGCACGCAACGCCTCTTCTTTCTTTTTCTTCTGTTTAATGGTTAGTTGTATTCTTAGTGAGTTTCTCCCCCCATTGGTTGGTTGTCATGCATTAGTTTGTAATCTTGATGTTAGATGTATATTTTTATTATGAACAAAAAGTATGCTGTTCACATTACAGGTTAAATATATATTAAATAATTAAATGTATATTGCTCATCATAAAAAAAGCTTTATTAATAAAATAAAGTACAAAAAAATCTTATTTTATAATAGCGTTTTATTGAAAATGTGATAAATACATTAAGGAACATACATATAAATCTCTGAAGCAGGTTATGTTTCAGGTTTAGTTCACCTCTGAGTTTTATATCTGTTTTTTTAATATATTTATTCAGGGAAATTTATTTAGAGCATGTTTCTTTTGCAACTCACAGAGCCGTCTTCCGGTGTGCTAAGTTTCATGTTTTTCTTTCATGGATCACTGCCTGGAGCAGAAGAACAGCACTTTCTACAAGCATTTGGAGGAGATTCTCTGTTCACATATCTGACCACCTTCCCAGAGAGCTGCTAGTTCACATTACTTCAAACTGGACTTGACACCTACATATAAGCAAGGTTGTCTAAGAGTGTCTTCGGGAGATGTACATGATCTTATAATGAACTATATGCCTTTCTCCAGCAATTTTCTATGATGTTCAAAGTGTTTCTATTATATTTTTCAGTTTTATGTTAAAACGTTCTGTGAAATAATTAAAACTGAAAAAATGTCTAATAATTAAATTTGTATGTGTGATGTTCTGAGGATATTAAAATCCTGTTCACATCTGGTATTAAGATGCATTTTCCTCAATCCAATGATCACAACTGTACAAAAGAGACATTACTGTTCACACCTGGCTTTTAAATGTGCCTCTTTTGTCCACTTTTGTGTACTTCTCTGACGAGGGTGGGTCTGTGAGCGGGTGTTGGATTTCTGTTATCTCTAATACTGCAAATCTAGTGCAATTTTCATAATTTACAAAAAGGTTCAATCTTATTAACACTTAAAAATGCTTTATAAATAGATTACTTTATGCATTAATAATGAAATTATAGATAATTCATTTGATTTATTTTTGATCAACTCCTATTAGGCATAGACACTTTGTTTTGTTTTACAGTTATATACAGTTACACACCAACATAATATAAATATATGTACAAATACCAATCCCCCATTCCATTATTTCTGATCAACTCCTTCCTAGACACTTTTACAGTTTTAATATTTATATAATGCTGTTTGTTTGACAAATATTGTTTAACAAATATTTTTGAATATCGAAAGTAAATACAAAGGGCATTAAAAGGATGCAAAGGATAAGCATTATAATACGTATTATTCATTCACAAGAAGATGCCACATAGTCAAAAAATAGCAGCATGACAGACAAGCATATAAATATGAATATGGATGCAAGTATATTGATTTGAACATGTGCAATGACAGTCAAGGTGATTCAAAGTTTCCGTACGAGCATGCATCGTTAGCAGTTATCATCTCAGAATAACACACCTTAGTATTTTGCAATTGACAAATCAGAATCGAGTCTTCCAGACAGCCTAATCATCACAATATTCATTTACTGTTTAGTTCATTCTAGGCTCTATTGTAATGCATTTAGATAATAAGTAGTAATTGCATAATTGCATGCAGCATAAAAAAAAAGTTCTCATGAACTCACATTAGCTCATAGTTCCTGCGTATGCTTTCTGGAATGTTTGGTTTAGTAACACGGACCGCCTGCTTGCAGGGAGAGGAAGAGAGAAGAGATAAAAGAGGGGAAAAAACTTAAAGCACATCACTTTCATCAATAAACAAAATCTAATTAAAATAATACAGTCTTCTCAAAATAAGACCTTGTTACGCAACAATTTGTGTTTTGTTTTTTTTGGAAGGTCCTTGAGAAGGAGAGTCATGAACACACAAAATCCGAGCACAGATATGGGGGAGAGAAGAGCAAATATGGCCAAATACTTCTCGTGTGTCAGGGTTCATGATACATTGAGAGTAAATGATAGATTTCTCACAAAATTTTCATTAAAAAAAATCTGACTACAAGGAAGTGTTCATCCAGTAATGATAATAATCTTAGTGCAGTTTTAATAAGCAGATGACTTGCATACTGCCTGACAGGAAACAATAACTGTAGAAATCTACTGCCCACGCAGATGATTATGAAACGCTCTTTTAATGGTCTTTACTTGAGTCTGTGAAAACCTAGTTCAGTACCAATGGGATTTGATGAAGGAAATCACAATCCTGCCAAAACCAAGGCTAAAGAAAGAACAACAAAAACATGCACAGAGATGTTTTGCAGCATCTTATCCTACTTCTACATAAATGTGATAAGTCAAGATAAGTCTGCAATGCTTTGGTAATGGATAACGAAATTAAATAAACTGTTAAATGAAATACTAACATACAGGAAGTACATTTGACAAGGGCAGAACTGAACGATGTCTATGCTGAATCCCACCTGAATGATGAGTCCAGGAGCCATGCTGGTTAGATCCTCCTGGAGCGTCAGCTTAAGATTCTCATCTATTTGATCTAAGGTGGGGGAAATAAACAGCAGAGAATTTCATGTATGACATATATAAGCAAAATGTATACTCGTATCTTCTTTACAAACACAAAATATGTAATAAATAAAAAGCAATTAATAAGCTTAACATGTCAGTCACCTCCACACCACTAGAGGGCTGCAACACCAACACTACTAACTAACTACACAACATTTCGAGGATTTTTTTTGTGTGAAAGAAATCTATTTCCATTACAATTTTAGACTGTAAATGTCTCAAAATACCTTCTATTATGATACCAATCTCACCCTCTCCCTCATACAGAGCAGGATAAGAGTAGCTTATTTAGCAATTTAGAGCAAAAGAGCCTGCTACAAGGTATTAACTTTGCAGGGTGACAAAATTTTGGAATTGTGTAATATATATATATATATATATATATATATATATATATATATATATATATATATATATATATATATATATATATATATATATATATATATATATATATATATATATATCATGCTTCTGTTAGATGTGGTTCAAGTGTGAGAGAAAAACATTCTCCTAATTCAATCACTGCATTATAAATAGCAGACCAAATACTGGCATGAAACCAGCAGGTAGGTGAGCCATGCAATTTTAAAAAAAGTATGTTACTGACACTAATCTGGCTGATTTGGATGTTGATTTTTAACGGAAGCAGTTTAGGTTTAATTTAGTTTTTATAGTAATTACCATGTCATGTGCTTTCCTGTCATTTCAAAATGCCACTTTATTTTCACTTTTATTAACACATTTTAATCAATGTGTTAGTGGAACAGTACAGTACACGTGTCAAACATTTTGGTTTATTACATTTGTTTGGGTTGGTTAAATATTTGAAAGAAAAAGAAAACATTCACTCTAACAACAATGAAGCTCCATTTTAAATGGCACAAAACGCCGTCTGACAATGAGGGAAAAATACCTCGCAGCAGTTGTTTTCCATCTCATTAGATTGCATTTTTTAAATGATAAGTCCAGAAGGTGGCGCTGATCGATTGCAGGATTAGTTTAAAGATGTTAAAAACAAATAAAATAGATTAAGACTATCATTTCAAAGCTGTCCAATTGTGACTCTTTAGTTGCAGACTAGAAGTTCGAAGCATCCTCCTTGCGCATACATGCAAACCAAAATGGGTAATTATACATTACAAGAAAAGGGTCTATATTTGAATAATCCTGCGACACTTCAACCCATAAGTGTACTGAAGCCCCCTGATTAAGAACAACTGTTCCCATTTAAAAACGCTGAAGTAAATTAAACTGAGATTCACAGTAAAAAATAATAATAATAATATGATAACGCTATGGTAGTCTAAAGTGGTTCTCAGCTGCAAAGAAATTAGATTAAGCTATAGGTTTAAAAGCAGCAAATTAAACTTTTAGGTATCAAACCAAGAAACATGAGATCCACCTCTGCTTAGCTTATTAGTACACTAAAACAAAATACTTACCAAACAGACCAATGTAGACATCCTGAAGCGTGTGAACACTACAGAACTGATTCAGCTCATGGTGAACCTTATTGAAAATCAGGGCTTTGTCATAGTCTGCTGTGAAGTTTCTCACGATGCCATAAACTGTAGCAGAGCAGACAATGGGGTTAAGAGAGAGATGAATTGGGCGCATAAAATAAATGACAGTTATAGTCGGTGCTTAAATTCACAGAAAGTAGGATAAAATATTTATGAGTCAAGTAGGCTGTGCCAAATAGGCTCTTAGAGGGCCGTCCCATGTTAAAGAGTCCAGGAAAATGTTTCCAGTTGTCCACCCCTAATGACAGCCTCTTTCGTAGGTTCGACATTATAAATGACAAATAGATCATTTTACCTGCTGAGGGAACAAGGTAGTTCACCACCTCAATGCGATCAAAGTAGATCATTACACCTCCACTGTAAAGCAAAAAAAAAAAAAAACATTTATGAATGAGTGTGAAATTTATTCCACAAGGCACAAGTGGAAATGGACATCTTATGCAGACTTTCTTCTTCACAATAAAAAGGCTTTTTACATTTGAAATAGTCAACCATGTTTACTTCTAAAAGCTTTTGTAGTAAATGTCAAGAATGTAGCACTGTTGTCCAGCGAGAAATTACATTTCATTACACTATACTATATGTCCTCACAAATAGAGAAATGTTAGTAAAGCTCAAGTTGCCTATAGAGAATCCTTGATTATCTTCTCCATGTTTTAGACCACTAATAATTAACTGGGGTTAAAAAGTAATCCTGAGTGTTTATGCACTTTGGTTTCACACTGTACACTACTGAACCAATGGTTAACTTTAATATTTGCAGTTTCAGTGAGTGTAATAGATTAAATGAACATATCATGCAATATGTTTACAAGGCTTTAGAGCCTCATTCTTTTGACTTTGCACTTTAAAATTGATTTATTTTTTTAGATGTTTTGAGCACCAAACTACAATATAAAAATATTTCTGAAGGATTATATGAAAATTCAAACAGATGGTTCAGTTTTGCAATCACAGGAATAAATTACTTCAAAAGTGTTCACAGAATTTGATTGTTTTTTTTTAATCAATATATTTATTATTTTTGCTTCAACAATTTACACAATCATTTCAATATACATGTAAACATTCTTTTCAAACATTCAAATTATTCATGTATTCAATAAAAGTGCCAAAAATCTTTTTAAACATTGATGATTGTCATTTTGATTAAACATTTTTTTTCCAGACAGGAACATTAGAAGAATGTTCTCTAGGCCATACAATATGACTTGGTGGTTTTGCTGATTCCCATTGTATAGCTATGCATTTCTATGCTGCCATCAGAGCCATTTTAATTAAATGTAAATTCCTCCTCTGATTGAGCTAGAGAACTGATTCATCTCCCAGTAACATAAATCTTGGATCAGGTGGATGTAGGGCTGGGCAATTTGGCCTAAAATTTAAATTTGATTAGTTGAACAATTTAACTTGATTTCAATTAATGAACGAGTATTTTATTTGTTTGATTTTTTTTTGCACTCACAGTTGGCTGACAGATTTTGTACAGTAAATATGCTCACATATTACAAGAGAGAGAAATTTCTGAATAAAGAGTGCATTACTTGAGGAAACACACACTATCTACTATCTATGATTATTTATTGAACATAAATGTTAAACAACTGAAATTAAAACGCACATTGCCAGAAACCAACAGTCACTTTTTTCTTTAAAAAAAAGTGAAAATAAATAACTTGCACTTTTGGAAACAAAATTAATTATTTTCAGTGTTTTTCTATGTTATAAGTAGAAAATGAGCAGTGTGTCAGGGTATGGGGGTGATGAAGAGGAGGCGAGGACCCAAATGCGGGGAATGAAGAATTTATTGAAAAAATAAAACAAAAACAAAACTCAAATCTCCCCATGTGGGGAAAAACACGACATGGTTATACACTCAACTAGACTTCAAGAATCTGGAACTTGGCAGACACACAACTTAACCACTGTTGTAGAACAGAAACAGCAAATCACGTACAACAGGGAAGGAAACAATCAACAACGGACCAGCACAGAACAGAGCACACTAGGAGAATAAATAGGAAAGACAAACCAATAAACAGACAGGCGGACAGGTGAAAATAATAATTACAAACAAGATAACAAGGTGGGTGATACAAGACAATAGACGGGAGAGCGCATGACACAGAGAGACAATACAAGCCATGTGCTCATATAACACAACACTGAAGCACACGACAAGAGCACGTGACCACAATGTAAACACAGAGCCACGTGCTTTGACAAAAGACGCAAGACACGAGCACACGATGAATGAAAACACTCACCGTGCGCTCACACATGCAGCATGCATGCTTCATCCCAGCGCCGACCAAAACCGAAACCAACAAGACTGAGACGCTGGGAATGAAACACCACGCTGCTGACAGACGAAAACACAAACATGAGTACAAGAGCGCACGCGTCTGAGGGACGCAGAGCGCGCGCGCGCGGCCGCGTCAAGCAGGAGCGCGCACACTCTGCGTACACCCATGAGAGGCGCGCGCGCACACAGAGACAGAAACAGGACCAGACACGGGTAGTGTCCGAGATCTGCCACCAAAACAAGGATTTACAAGACCAGAGTGGCAGAACCCTGACACAGTGTCTCTTCTAAATAAAATAACTCTTGTTTATCCTGTAAATAATATTTTAAACAGTTGCATCTTCTGCAAATAAATATTATCATGTAAATAATAATTTTGATGTAATGGATATTATGCTGTCTCAAAGCATCTCTGGTGCAGCTTCCAATCATCGTTTGTGAAGTGCAAAGTAAGGCTCAAGAATGGGTTCATCTCTCTACTTGACCATGTATCAGATGTGGCTGCAAAGTGGCAGCAGAAGTAGAAATCAGCCACAGTGTTTAACAGAGTGGGGTCACGTAACATGTAGGGAAAGTAATTGAAAAAACTTGTCGTGGAAAAATTGGATCGATTATAGTTTCTGAATATTTTGATTACATTCGATTAATCGCCCAACCCTAGGTGGGAGCTTAACGTTAGCAATTTTGCTAATAGTTTGTATTACATTTCTCCAATAAGTTTTAAATTTGGAACATGTCCAAAACATATGTAATAATGTACCAACCTCCATTTTACATCTAGAGCAACATTTTGAATATGAATCACTTAATTTGTGTAATCATTCAGGTGTGTAAAATATTAAATTGTATTAATCTGTGTCTACTATTAAATGAAAATGTTAAGGCACTTTTTACAGATACGTTCCCAAATATCCTGATCAAAAATGCATTACAAATCTTTTTCTCATTTAAGTTAAGTTTTGATTACAGCAACAGTAATCTGAATATAGTCAGAAGGGAACTTGTTAATTGGTTTAACTGGACTTTGGCAGATTTATTATTTACAGAACATTTGTGAGATGACAAGAAATCATATGGAAAGGATGAGAGAACAGAATTGTAAAAAAAATTCAGAAATGACAATACTGCAGATAAATTATGTCTGCTCAATAATTTATGCTCAAAACAATCCATGTCTGCCATCAGGTTTCTCTTTAACTGCTGTGGACCCGAAACACTTGGGCTTTAATTACCACAAAGTATCTTGTCTTAAGATGTACTGAACCTAAGCTCTAAACTTTAAAAAACTCTAAAACCCTTGAACAACAGCAGAAAGCTGCAGATCGATGTTCACTACAACAGAGGAAACCAAACGCCTACACTAATGCCGGCATTCAAGCTCTTACTTTTTCAAATAAATGAAACACAAAGTCTATCATGACTGCACAGTATTTAGCATATGCAATAAAATAAGAATTAACCTCACCCTGTGCCGCATGGAACATTCTTCACTTCATCTGTTTGTAGGGTTGTCTTTATGAAAAAGAGAGAAAGCAATAAGAATATATAAATAAGTTTAACTACATTTAAAAACAATATTTTACCTGTACAGACTTGAATGTAGTAATGAACGGCAGCATCAGATGAAATCCAGGGCCACTAGTGGCAGTCAGCAGAGCTCCACCTCTAGAGACAATAGCAACACACATGGATACACTAGCATTAAAGCAGAACATGAAGTGATCTGCAGCATGTGCTTTGTTTTAGGAGCAGATGTTTGGGAAACCAATACACTGACCTGTAGTAAACACCCACATGTCCTTCTTCAATCTTATGTAGTGCAGAAAAGACTGCAGCTCCTCCAATGGCAAGGATCAAGGAGGCGACTGCTCCCAGTGTCATTCTGAACATAAAAGAAATGTATTAATCAATATAAACTGGCCACCTTATTAGGTATGAATAAATCGAAATGCTTTAGTTTGTCATAGCGCAGATTCAACAATTTGACTCAGCACAGATTTTTATCCATACTTTAAGCAGACTTTTGAGCTGCACATCTATTATGTGAATCTCTAATTCCAGCACATTCAATATATGCACTATTGAATTGAGATCTGGTTACACTGGAGGCCATTTGAGTATAGTGAACTCACTGCCATTGAAGAAACCAGTTTAAGGAGATTTGACCTTTGTGATTTGCATGTTATCCTGATAAAATAGGTTTCATAAAAATAGTTATACTGTGGTTATAAATAGATGTAGGGATGTAATGCTGTGCATAGAGGCTTCAAAGCATGTATCAAAAAAATTATACATCTTGCAGTAAAGCAATGTACCGTAGCTTGATTCGTTTTGCCATAATCGCGTGATCAATGATGCCCGAAGCTTCATTTTTGCCTATGTTTGTGACTGTTTTTATTTGATCCAAAGGTTTAAACACCCTCGTGGGTTAGTAAAGTGTATAGTGAGAGATTAGGCGTTGATTACATACATTTCAACTGTTTCAAAGCACTGCACCAGTCCCACACACCAGTAGTTCAACTACAATACAATAGTAATTTATAGTAAAAAGCTTTTGAACCATACTAAAGTGTATTATTTACAACTATTATCCACTGCATATTGTAGTATAGTGTGTAACAGAGGCCAGCTGTTGAGTGCAGCCCAAAAGCCTCACTCCCATAGCCTTCTCCTTAGACCATTCACCTCCCATGCAAGAATCACCGGCTAGGAACAAGTGTGTGGAACAAGCTTTGGACTTGACTAGTCATCGGTGGTTAAAAAAACTACAGTATTTGAGTAATTTGTTTATATGACTATTGCTGTACTACATGAAAGAGTTGGTCGGTTGTGATCATTTGACATTTTTGCAACACAGTACTTTCCCACACTTTAACCAGCAGAGGTCCTCATCGAGCTCTGATTTGGAAAGCTTCAAGTAAACCTTTTTTCTGATACAACTGGGTCGAACGGTTCACTAGTTCAGAAAGTTTTATTTCACCATCACTAAATTGATAGAAGGTTTTAAGTATAAATGGAGAGACTTTGATTAGCTGCAGGACACTGGCCCTCCAGGACTGAGTATGTTTACCTCTGGTTTAAACACACAGCCTACCTGAGCATTGCGGCCGACCAGGTTGTTTTATTTCATAGGTCTCAAATTTGATTCCTGGAGGGCTGTAGCTCTGCACAGTTTAGCTCCAACTCACACTTGCTTAATAGTCTCTAGTAGCCTTGATAACTTTGATTAGTTGGATAAGCTGTGTTTGATTAGGATTGAAACTATGCAGAGCTGCAGCCCTCCAGGGGCCTGTTTCAGTAAGGAGGTTCAAACAACTCAGAGTTTAAACTTGAACTCTGAGTTGATTTACCAAGAGATTAAAAAAAATCTGAGTTTTCGGTTTTAGAATAGCTGATCTGAGTTGGGTCAATCAACTTTGAGTAGACCAACTCAGAGTTAAGAGCGCACACCGTGACTATAAAAAGGCATTATCAAGGGAGCACAGATATTACGAGTGACCATGGCAACATCCAAAAAAAAAAAAGAGATCACCATTTCTTTCATCAGCTAAACTTGATGTGCTCATGCAAAGTTATAGCAAATATGAGCGTATATATTTAAAAGAAGCAACCATCAGTGAAACAGAGACAGTTAGCCTGGGAAAACAGCTGCTCAAGTTAATGCGTAATTTTACATTTAAAGTATTTAAATACTTAAGTATAATAAAAAAAAGTCATGTAATGTGTGACGAACATTTTTCTAAACTTTTATACACGTTTATCAGTTTTAATAAACTTATGTGCACTTGTGTGTCTGCCTTTTTATTGATCAAGTGATAGAGGTTGATATAACATTTAGAAGGTAAGCGGTACAAAATTGTTTAGAAAGAATAATAATCCCATTAATCTAGTTACAGTACATGTCAAAGGACACTGAATTTGAGCTATTTATGAAAAAAAGGACAAGCCATCCTCGTATGTGACTTTGTTCTGTGTGTGACTAAAATGTAGGCAATATCTATGTTTCCATCCAAATATATAACATAATGTGCCAAATATCAACAGTAAAAGCAGAATTTACTGCTGTAGAAGAAGCTGCTTTAATTATTTATTTATTTTTATTTAACAAATGTACTTGCGCCTCAGAAGAATATGTTGACACACAATTAACACGTGGGGGCGTTTGAAGCCATGTGAAGCAGAGACTCTTGACATGCTCCAGATGCTCTGAGGTAATTAATAATATACATTAATACTGAAACAGTTATGGCATTTTAGAATGACCAAAAACAACATGTTAGATGTTCTGCAGTGTGCTCAGCCAGCTGGTTTGTCCATTCACACACATTTTAATCATCATATGATCTCTTATAACAAACCTTTTTTAATGCACATACTGTAATTTGTTAAGTGTTTCCTTGGTAGCTTATGCGCATCTTTTCTTATCAAATAAAAGTTTATCCTACTCACTTATGCACGTTTTTTATGCATATTTTCAAAAGTTATGTGTATCATGACGTTTCCATCAATCGTTTTAATGTGCATCTCCAAAATGAGCTCTAAAATAGGTGTGTGGAAACCTAAGGCTATGGCGAGAAATACCGCTTTGTCTTTAAAAAAGGGGAGGAGACTGACAGAAACTCAGAGTTTAGAGAATAAAACCTGCTCCTGACCACAATTGAGTTACCACAATAACTGACTGAGTTAAAGTTACTTCTCTTTCAGAAACAGGCTTGACTTACCCTGCTTTCCCGAGTTTGACAAACCTGCCATTTTTTAATTGGAAAACCCAGAGTTTCTCTCATTTCAGGGTTAAAATACTCTGAGTTTTCACTTAACCTGCTTTCTGAAACAGGCCCCAGGAATCAGGTTTGATAAAATAAATGAACCTGGTCGACAAAAATGCTCAGGTAGGCTGTATGTTTAAGTCAGAGGTCAACATACTCAGTCCTGGAGGGCCAGTGTTCTGAATATTTTAGTTCCCACCCTAATCAAATACATCTAATCAAGGTTTTCTTTTCTTTTTTATACTTAAAACTTCCATGAAGGTGTGCTGAGGCAAGTTGAAGCTGCACTCTTCGGTGTCCCCTGGTTTAAACCAATCTCTGTTGGTACTCAGGGGTCCAAATTGTGCCAAGAAAATCCTTCACATCTTTACAGCTTGAACCTTTGACACAAAGCAGAATAGATCCATTCTGAAACTGCCATCTGAATGTTGCAGCAGAAATCAAGACTCATCATATTAGGCCATTCTTTTCAGATCTTCTTTTATGTGGTTTTGGCATGTGTAGAGTGAAGCCTCAGTTTCTGTTCACAGTAGTGAGTAGCACCCAGTTCTGCAGTCGCTCATTGCTTCAATGTTCAAAGATGTTCTTTTGTGGATCTCGACTGTAACAAGTGGCTATTTGAGTTACTGCTGCCTTTTTATCAACTCAGATCAGTCCGGGCATTCCTCTGACCTCTGGCAATAACAGGGCATTTTCAGCCAAGCACAGCACACCCACTGTATATTTTCTCTTCTTTAGACCCTTCTCTGTAAATCCATTAGTTTGTGGCTTAAGTGAAAATCCCTGTATATCAGAGGTTTTTGAAATAGTGAGACCAGCCTTTCTGGACCTAACATCACATTCAAAAATCTAATACTCTCAAGAATGTACTAAAAAAAAGTACACACACATACTACAAATGTGTGAACTGTGAACGTAATCCAGATGTATAGTCCTTATGCCGACATCCTGGTATTTTTGGTCTAACTTTGACATTTCTTTTGTCAGCTGCTGGTTTTGATAGTAATGTGACTGAATGTGACAGAGGATCTCACCTGTGCAACCAACACCACTTCCCTTTCCAATAAGGCACAACAATGCCTTCTCAGTCGGCTGAAAAGTCGCACATTTGCACTATAGACACTTTCTTAATCACTCCATGTCTCTTGTAAACATTGTGCATTTCAAATTGTGCTTAATTCAGGTGAGTGGGCTTGACACACTCTTGAAACACTCTTCTCTCTTATGCACCTCACACTTTATCAAAACTCCTTTCAAGAACTCAACAAGGAAAACCATGTTTACTATAAATGTACCAATCATGTTGCACTGCTTGCTTCAACCTAACTAAATCTTGCACAATATTCACCTTAAATACCTCTCTCGCACAATATCCTGCACAACATTGTTTAGTCTCATGTAAAAGTACTTGTATAGCCTGTGTGCATAGTTAGGTATAGTACAGTATATGTTAGTTATGCAGAGTTTTTTTTTTTAAATAGCTCTAATGTCCAGTGTTGTGTTTGTATTATGCTTAACGTAACGCCGTTGTCCTGCGAGACCTGACATTTGGTTCCTCTGTATGTCCACACATGTAGTGGAATGATGACAATAAAGCTTAACATGATCTTAAGATATTTGCATGTGCATTTGCATTAGCAAGCAGTTGAACTTTGACAGTTTTGAACTGTGACCTTCTTTTGTCACGTAACTGTATTAATGGCAATGTGACTGATGTTAAGATATTTGCATGTGCATTGCAGTGTAACCAAATAATGAGTCTACATCTTTATGTTCAACAGTAAACAACAACTAGCATATTTTACCCATTACATCTTCAAGGGTGAAGTTTTTTTTTAAATCGTAGGAGTTAGTTAGAATTTATATAAAAAAATCTAATTGCAAAAAAAGAAGAGGAAAATGTCTATTGCACACTGATTAAAGTAGCAAAGTGTGCTGGTCTTAGCACGTTTTCAAGCCTTTTCAACCTCAATTGTGCATAAACGAAATATAATTCTTCAGCAGTGTCATACTGCTAAACAGCACGGTGTAAAAAAACAGTGAAAAGCGCAGTTGTCTGAGTTCATGGCAGATTTAAGGAGCATGTGGAGCTGACATTGCAGTGACTTTGATGTTGTTAAGAGGATTGAGAAGACCAAGCACAAATACCTGCAGGATACTGTTTGCTTTACCGACTGTAAATTATTTGAAAATATATCACAATCAGTTTAGTTAGCCAGCACTAGAGGGTGCAAAGCTTGATTTATATGGTTTTAGAGAGCGAAATAGCATCGATGAACTTTGAATTAAGCTAACGTTAACGTCCTGTGTTGTTTGTTAATGACTTGAGTGTCCGGAAGTTCCTGCTGGCGGTGGGGTTTATATTAGTGTAACACAAACTAATCCATACAGTTCTGTATCCTTTTGTTAGCATTAATAAGAAACTGACAAACCTCCTGTCCAACGCGCTGAATTCTAAACCCACAGAAAACATGACTAGCTAGCTTTAAATAATGTGTACACAAACACAATACGTGAGACACTCTGTCAATGCAAGATTACAAACCGGAGAAAGGACTTTATAGATGAAAGCGAACTAAAAGAGATGTTACCTAAGTATGTACTGTAACTCCTTTCCGATGGCCGGTAGAAACACCTGCGATCAATGAGGAGAAAAAAAAAACAGAGACGCTATTTTGCGTCTGACGTCATTGTAGTTTAAGTCACTTTTCCGCTGATGTTCGAGTACCACACCGCTAGATGGAGACAAATAGTTACGTATAGAAGATTGAAGTGGCGAAGATGGATTTGTTTTCATTTTTATCATTGGTTAACTAAATATAAAACGTAAAAAAATACAACTAAACCATTTATAAATCTGATTTAATTTCTGCAACATTTTAACACTTTGCAAAGGCTTTTTCTTAGCAAGCAACCTTGCATTAAAAAGAAGTCTAGTAGCCATCTAAACAGCTCAGACTAACAAGGCAGAGTTTGGACTAAACCAAGGATTTATTGAACGATACCTAAATGTCAATGGTCTACTATAGGCTAAAAACTAGGCTGAATACGTGCTGTCAAAACTGATTAGACATCTAACTATATAGCCTCGAATAGAAGAGTCATCAAATAAACAGCTAATGAACTCACAAATCTAGACTAATCTAGACAGAATCCTTTTTTATTAAAATGTAACAACGTCCATATAAATTAAATGTTATATTTACATTTTAAAAATTTAACATTTTAAGCACCTTAGACACCTTAAGAAGATGCTCTACGAAATTTTAATTTAATGAACAAAAGTGAAATACAGTTGAAAATGATTAAAGCAATACAAATAATGTAAGATCATGCAAACACTAAATATAGCTTATAGCCTAATGTAAATAAAACATTATTAACTCGAGGTTTTAAATATTATACAAAGTATTATACAAAGGCAAAAACTGTTTTTATGCATGTTCATTTTGAGATGTTGGTCTTTTGGTTTGTTCTTTTTCAGTTTAAAATAATCTTTATTTTTTGTAGTAATTTTATAATGCTAAAGTATTTTAATGCTTTCATAATAGTATTTTTGACTTACAGTTTTATTTATTTCTGTGTGCTTTACTCCGAAGGTTTTTACCGAGGCGTATGTAAAACGTGCCAAAAATTAAACTTTTTTTTTTTTTGCTGTTCACAGTATGAACAATGTACTGATAAAAAGAGATTCTCAAAAAATTCCCTTTTGTAAAAACATGGCTTTAATACGTAAACTGTCTTCATCCAGTGTTTATAGTTTCAGAGCTAGAAATGTACATTAGCACATATTTAAATAAATAATGCCTTAATTGAATATTTGAGCATTTTAGAAAACTTGTATTATAAAAAGTTAGCATTTTTGAATGTTGTCAACACATTGGTGATGTGATAACCATTCATTAACTTGAAGTCTCGCCTTTACATGAAAAACAATATGAATAAGCAAATTAAATGGTTTATACACTTAAAAACTTTAGTTTAAGCACCCGTTCTCACTATTAATCAGTGGCTTATTGCCAGTTTATTATTGGCTGTTTATTTGTACTTCTGTATCATCTGTATCACGTGTCTTTGGACTGTGGGGGAAACTGAAGCACCCAGAGGACATCACAAAACAAAATGTTTATATATTGTTATCAATAAAAAATATTATTATATTATTAAAAAACAACTGAACCAAAAAAAGCATACGTCACCAAAAGCCACTTCCTTTTCTTCTGGAAATGGGTATTTGACTGCCAAAATTGTAACATTTGTAGCTTTAAATAGTGTTTATTACAGAAACAACCAAACAATGTAATTATTTTATTTTTTATGTAAACAGAAGGGTTTAATATCAGTCACTGTAAAATACACAACACATATTTATTTTTTTTAGTTTACAAAACCCAACTGGGACATAAAAGTACAAAACTTTACAAAGAACAAAATTGTAAAAATTATACTTCTTGTTCCTTGTATTTACAGATTATGGGTGCTTCATGTCATGTCCATGAGTTCCATATATTTGTTTTGAGGTTCAGAGGGATGATGATAATGATGATGGTGGTGGTTGTAGTGGATTTCAGATTTCAGATATCATCAGGTTGCATCTCATTTGGCATGTTTTTTGTAGATAGAGATATACTCCTTTACATCATCAGGGGAGCCCAGAACTACAGGAACCCTCTGGTGGATTGATTCAGGCTGAATGTCCAGAACGTTCATGGCTCCAGTTGTTGCCATACCTCCAGCCTGCTCCATAATGAAGGCCATGGGGTTGCACTCATACAACAGCCTCAGCTGCAGTCCAGTAAGAAACAAGAAACAAGTGAAAATACTGCTTTAAAAATCTAATATTAAATGCAAATTCTGATTTATTGTGTGTGTTTGTTTTCACCTTGCCCTTGGGACTCTTGACATTAGCAGGGTACAGGAAAATTCCTCCATAGACTAGGGTCCTGTGCACATCAGCTACCATAGACCCCACATAGCGCCCTCCATAAGGTGAACTGCCATCCTGTGGGTCACAGTGAGAATGCTATCTTTAGAGACTAACATACAGAAAAAAAACTATTAAAATCAGCCTTTTGTTGAAGAATTTCTGAAGTAAAAATAATCTTAACAGATTTTAACAGATATGACAGGATTTTTGAATGTGTCTCTATCTCTGACTCGTCAATAAAATGAGAATGCTCAGAGTCTGTAGACTCTTACTTCTGGGAATTTCTTCTTTTGCAGATATTCTGTGACATCTGGGTAAAATTGCTGAGCGTAGCCTTCATTAAGACTGTAGATCTTTCCTTTCTTCTTAATCCTCACATCCCGGTCCACAAGTATGAACTCACCGATGGCCTAATAAAGGAGGAAAAAGGATGAATGATTAGTCTTTAAGGAGGTAATGTATTTACCTTTAAAATGTCATCTAACTATTTAAAGCTATATGTAGTGTACGTATGAAACATAACACAGACGTACAGGGTCTAGCATGAAGCAGTTGACTCCCTGTCCTGTGGAGAGAACCAGCATGGTAGCACTGCCATAGAGAGCATAACCTGCAGCCACAATGTGTCTGCCGCTCCGCAAGGCATCCTTCTCTGAGGGCTCATCGTCAGTTTCCTAAAAAAAAAAAAAAAACAGTAAACATGCACATAAACAAGAGCATTTCAGAAAAGCTTTTAAATGACTGTAATAGAGCTGAAGGTCACTACCTTTCTGTAGATTGCAAAAATAGTTCCAATAGACGCTAAGCAGTCAATGTTTGAAGAGCCATCCAGAGGGTCAAAACAAACCACGTATTTGCCCTGGGTAACAAAGAAAAAGTACAGTGTCATGTAGCAGCTAAATTCTCAAATTATATATTGTCACCTTAGAATTATAAGTTTCTATCTGAAATTTTTGTCAAAAAAATTTGTCAAAATTGAGAATTGAGAATTGACACATTCTTATTACATGACAATTTATTTACATTATGGATTGCATTTTATAAGTTGTTTGCATTTTAAAACTTTTTATAGAAAAAAACTAATGTTACACACATACTGTTTGCTATATGGAATGCAAATATTTTGAAGCTCAATATCTCAAAATCATTCCAAACACAGATAGAACCTTATAATGTGACAATATCACATGCAATCTGAGCAAAATGTATACCAAAAATAGTGTTCTTTTAACCCCTAGCACATATAGGTTAGATAAATTAAAGAGTTTAAATTGACTTGTTAAACTTGTGTATAAATTAACTGGTCCTCACTGAGAATATAGACATGTACTCTAGATCAAGGGTGCCCAAACTTGTTTCGTATGAAGGGCCAAAAACGAAATCATTGAGGGATGTGGGCCGAAGTAAATATACCAAACTATTTTACATTTAAGTTGCCATGAATAATGTCCTAATTTATTTAATAATATTTCAAAATAAATAGAAAACATTACTTTAAATCACGTTAAATAATTCATTCATTCATTCATTCATTTTCTTTTCGGCTTAGTCCCTTTATTAATCTGTGGTCACCGCGGTGGAATGAACCGCCAACTTTTCCAGCATATGTTTTACGTAGCGGATGCCATTCCAGCTGCAACCAATTTCTAGGAAATTAACAAATTCAGCATAGCTTTTAAAATTATAACTTAATGTAATACAAACATAACAATCACATTTATAACACAGTGGAGTTCAATCTGCCTTTGACCAGCTTAATTTGCTTGAGAAGTCTCTGCATTGTCAGGTAACAGTATGTACATTCAAACAAAATCTGATTAATTTACACCATTTAATTGAAACATTTATTTCAGTTAGCTTTTAACAATAAAACATTGAAACATCCCCATCATTCTCCCTCTCATCTCAAATGGGATGGTGGGCCAAATCAAAGGTTAGCATGGTAAACTTTGGCCCCCGGGCCCTAGTTTGGGTATAACTGCTCTAGATGCTGAAATTGTGTTAAGGAGAAAGTATAAATCAGATTTCAGTTAAAAAATAAAACAAGAGAAATGTTGCATGCACCTACCCTTTTCTCTGGTTCTATAATGACGGCTTTTTCATCTTCTTCAGACACCAAAACACAGGATGTGAAGGAGGATTTAATCATGTTTATAACTAGATCATTGGACAGGACATCTAGCTTTTTCACCTGGTCTCCTGTAACATTTGTGCTTCCAGCAATTCCATAGCTAAACAAAAAGAAATAGAGATTTGTAACTGTGATATATTCATATTTGATTCATATATGACATGCTGGTTTCCTTTCTCAGTACTGATACTGTAGCTTCTTATGAAAGAGTCGACCTTTGGCCCCTATTTCAACAAGTGAGATATAATCATTGCCTCATTCTGTAATGTCTGTTTGCAAAGTGCTTGCACTGACCAGCCACTGCAACACCACAACAGCATAGAGTAAATATATCTTCAATTCTGCAAGCAAAATGCATCCGAAAAAATGCCACTGATGTAATTTAAGGTTTAAAGTACTTTATTTAATCTATAGGCTCACTAAACTACATTGCGCTGTGTGTTGAACACAAAAAATAAATAAATAAATAAAATAAATAAATAAATAAATAAATATATATATATATATATATATATATATATTTTTTTTTTTTTTTTTTTTTTTTTTTTTTTTTTGGAAGAATGCTGGTTGTTGAGACCCACTGACATCCACCTTCCACAGTAGGAACAAAAATCACTATAGAAGTCAATAGATTTCAGCAACCAACATTTTTCAAAATATTTTCTTTTGTGTTCAACAGAAAAAAAAACCTAAATAGGTTTTGAACAAGTGAAGGGTGAGTGCATAATGACATAATTTTATGTGAATCTCTTTAAATTGAGGAAAATCTTCTCATATTTGTGTACCATCGAAGGTAGAAATAATAGAAAAACTCAGTGTCAATATGCATATATTGGAGTGTAATTTGGCTCAACTGGATTAAAAATCGAAATATTTGTCTGGTGTGAAAAATGCATTAGCTGGTACTCACAGATTGGCAATGCCTGCTTTTCTGACAGCAGTGGAAATGGCTTTGATGGCTGTGCACATGGAGTTGAGAAGGGTTGTAAGCTCTCCTGTTCCTTTGGCTTTTCTGCCCTCTTCCAAGACAAACCTGGTGAGGGTCACCACATTGGTATCAAATGCACCTCTGTCAGACATGATTACTAACTGCTAGAGAGTAAAACCTCTTCTGAGTTCCTGCAGATTCCTGTCAGAAAGAATGTTTTAGAAAGTAGTCTAGATATTTGACTTGGTTTAGAGGGGGAGTGATGGTAGTTAACCAATTGCAGGTATCGTTGGAAGGGAGGAGTGTTTTTTTTTCTCTTTTGCACATGTAGTAAATGGAGGGCCTGGTTGAAGTCCAAAGAGATTATCACACTGAGTACACGCATGGGGACTGTCATTCGGTAACAATAGAGCTGATTGTATCAACTTTGATTTGTGATTGACTGATTGATCATCTAAGCACCATGCATATCTACTTTGTATTTGCATATTAGTCTCAGTTTTAAGAGCTGTGCCTGAAGTGTTGAATAAAGATTGAATAAACATTTAATATATGTATTTTTTAATTATTTAATTATTCATATTTTATCATGTATTGTCAGTATTTGTAGATATATGTTTTGTAACAATCATCTGTTTACCCAAAGATGCACATCAGACATTGTTGTGACTAATGATTGATTAGCAGTACAGAGCTGTCAGCAGAAGCAGCTCATGTGCACAGGGTATCCGTGATCAACGTGCAATCCAAAGGTTAATGTGCTGTCCCCTGCTCTGAAGGTTAATTGGCCGCAAAATAGTGGAGCAGTGGGATTCTTTTGCAAGATTGTAACAAACAGGTTTCTTTACATTTCAACTCTGATCTTTGTTCCACATTTCGGCTTAAAGACAAGGTTACAATAATGCAAATTATATAATAGTCCAGTTTAAATACATTGTAATGTTCCAAAGAAAAGGAAAGTGAGTTATCTTATATCTTATATTTTCATTCATTCATTCATTGATTCATTCACTCGTTCATTCGTTCATTCATTCATTCATTCATTCATTCATACATGAATATTCATCCATTCAGTTGCAACCCAGTACTGGGAAACACCCATACACTCTTATTCACACACATACAGACAATTTAGTTTATTCAATTCTCCTACAGCGCACGTCTTTGAACTGTGGGGGAAACCAGAGCACCCAAAGGAAACCCAAGCCAACACGGGGAGAACATGCAAACTCCACACAGAAATGCCAACTGACCCAGCTGAGGCTCTAACCAGCGAGCTTTTTGCTGTGATGCAACAGCGTTACTCACTGCGCCTCAGCACCATCATATATTTTGTCTGCTCATATATATTATGCCATTTTTTAAATATAGATCTAGTTTATGGATATATAATTGCATTAAAGGTGAACATTTAATCAGTTCTGGCTTTCTTTGAGAAGCAAAACTACAACCTTGGCCTTACTAGTGAATCATTATTTACAATAAGTGAATAGTGGAGTTACAGGAATGGTTTTATATTGCTATTTCTATATAATCAATATATTTAACTAAGTACTATATCTGATGCATTCACTCACTACTACCCACAATCTGATTTTGATTGCACAGCCAATTGATTTCTTGAAAAAAACATTTTCAATAATAGTGCGTACAAAAAAAAAATAACATAGAGCAGCAGATGGCCCAAAAATAGCCATTTTTGTTTTGATGTTTATTTTGAGTGAGGTAAACTTTTTTTTTATTTTTATTTTGTCGTATTTTTTACTATAAGGTGACACTGTGGCTCAGTGGTTACCACTCTCGCCTCACAACAAAATCGCTGGTTCGAGAACAGCTTGGCCAGTTGGCATTTCTGTGTGTTTGCATGTTCTACCCATGTTCGCGTGGGTTTTCTCCGGGTGCTCTGGTTTCCCCCATATAGTCCAAATCCATACAGGTGAATTGGGTAAGCTAAATTGTCTGTAGTGTATGTGTGTAATAAATAAATAAATAAATAAATATCATGAAATAACAAATTTTACTTGATATATATTTTATAAGCAAATGAGACAGTAATGTTGGTGTTTACAGAAATGTATGAGTTTCAAAACCGTCAGTCATATCCGTTGTAAGAACGAAAACCGCCTTGTACCTTTAAGAGAGTGCTGCAGTACTTCCGGGTTAGAGGGCGGAGTGGACAAGTCCAAAACATTTGTGAGAAAACGCGAAGCTGTTGCAGAACCACGGTCTGTCATGGTGCAGTGGTGAATTATTTTGCATTTATGAACCAGGTTTGTATTTATCGACCTCCTTTTTTTGTTATATGTGTTCAAGTCAAGGGCTTAACGTAAACATTATTCATGAAACTTGCTGCATAAAAGGCTTTAGTGTCTGGCGTCTTGTGTTTATGTGATTTCAGAAAGTATCAGACAGTAAATCTCATTCAAATGTAAAAAAAGTACTGTGCTACTGCAGCACTCCGGCTAACTGTCAGATCTGTTATTGGCCGTATTACAAGTGTACTTGACCTACTTGCAGTTTGAGGCTCAATGTGAGATGCTTACACCTGAAACAAACCATGCAGGTGCAAGTGTTTCTCTGAGACAGTGACTTTGAACATTGCTTTTCCTTTTTTCTGTTCTTTTGCCTACTATAACTTAGTAGTGTAGTTAGTTACTGTATATTTTATAATACGCGAATGTACTTAACTAATAATAGGTACAAGACGAATAGGTAATAATAGGAATTCCTCTGTAAGATATTTTGTTAGGGATATTGCATCTTTTAGATCCCAAGGTGTTAAAAGAAGGGACCACGATTTGAAAACGTAAAAGACATCTATTCATGATTTTTAAAAATGTATAGTTCTAAAATATACTTGTGAAAATATTTAAAAAATTACTCTATTACTTATGTGATAGTAAAATATTTGCATTGAGATATTTGCAGTACCTGAAGCAAATTTATTAAATTATTTAAAGTGTTATTTTTAAATTATTTGATCATAAATTTGTATGGTCAATTTTAATATAATATTTATTTATTTATTTTTTTTTATTCTCTGTTTACTCGTTTATTTTAATCACATTTTGGTTAAAATATTGTTTAATGTATTAACTATTGTATTAGAGCAATTCCAAGCAAATGGCAACCTTGTCATTACAAAAATTACGTTTTCACCAAAACTGAGAAACAACTTCTACATTTTTTGTGCAGGCTTGTATTTTGCAGTACTTTAAAATGCTCAAAAATGTTTCTGTCAGTGTTTTCAAACTATTATATTTGTTTTACCAAAGTCTGATATGTGCCAATATCACATCTGTCACATCCATAATAGAGAGCTGTCACATTCTCAATGAGACGTTTTCCTTAGAAATGCAAAAAAAAAAAAGTCAAATAAAATTAATCATGTTTATAGAGAGCCAACTCTTATCCTGTCAGTGAGCATTGTTTCTTTTGGGTTGTGCAGTTTAATTCACAGAATTTTTACAAAGTATGTTAAATACTGCAAACTTGCTAAACTCACATGTTTATTTCCCTCAATTAAAATATATACGTGTATAGTTTGACATTTTTCTGATCCCGTAACTATGTGGTTAGTTTTTTTGGAAAGTATAAACAGATATGTCAATATAATGTTAACATACGCTTTCTCTTATTTAGACCCCATAGCTCTACCCTGTTTGAAAATTCCAACTGCAATTTATACCAACAGCTTCAGTGTTTGCCTCAGAATATTTTCTCATTTTCTTTTATTTAAAAATGTTACTGGTTTTCCACTACGCTAAACTTGTAAATGAGCAGAATCGCTGTTTATTGTGCTTACTTTTCTTGAAGCCATATGTCTGTTCTGTTATTTGTTGCATTTTATTTGAGCATTTCCAACTGTTAGTCTAACAGCATTTATTTGCTTGTTTGGATAACGATAATTAATGTCATTTCATCTTTTTCTTGTTTTTTTTTTTTTTAGAATGGCCTCCTTTGGCTGGAAGCGTAAGGTGGGGGAGAGAGTTTCCAAGCAGACGGTACAGCAGTTTGAGCAGGACTCGGAGCAGGCGGATGAGGATGAAGTTGAGCGAGAGGGAGTTGACTGGCTGCATGTGATCAAACGGAAACGAGAGGTGCTGCTGGAGGACTGCGCTGCTAAAAGCAAGAGACTAAAGGAAGAAGGAGCCCTGCTTGCTGAACAGGACAGGTAGACCATTGTATCTGTATGTTCATTCAAACCAAACATTTAAATCCAGCAGCTTTATGTTTTAAACAAATATTCCCAATTGTCGTTTAAGGGAGAGGATAATTTTATTCAACACATTTTTAAACATAATAGTTTTAAAGTCCCTGTTAAATTAAAATGACGTTTTTAAGATGTTCATTCATTCATTTACTTTTTGGCTTAATCCTTTTCTTAATCTGGGATTGACACAGCGGAATGAACCGCCAACTTATCCAGCTTATGTTTTACGCAGCGGATGCCCTTCCAGCCGCAACCCATCACTGAAAAAGTTTTTAAGATGTTAGTATCAGGACATTAGTCTTAAAGGACACTTATTTTACCCCTTTTACAAGATGTAAGATAAGCCTTTGGTGTCTCCAGATTGTGTCTGTAGAGTTTCAGCTCAAAATACCCATCAGATTATTTATTATAGCCATGAGAATACGCTTCTTTTGGTGCCTGAGTACATTTCAGCTGTTTTTGTAGCCTGTGGCTTTAAATCCAATTGAGCTGCTTTTCCCTGCCTACACTTCCCCAATGCATGTATTCTTCTCATAATGTGTTACGTCAGATAAACAGCACAGTGACAGAGACAGACTCGGATGAAATATCTCGCCTCACAGCAAGAAGGTTGCTGGTTTGAGCCTCGGCTGGGTCAGTTGGCCTTTCTATGTGGAGTTTGCATGTTCTCCCTGCATTTGCGTGGGTTTCCTCCGGGTGCTCCGGTTTTCCCCACAGTCCATAGACATGCGGTACAGGTGAATTGGATAAGCTAAATTGTCTGTAGTGTATGTGCGTGAATGGGTGTGTATGAATGTTTCCCAGTGATGGGTTGCGGCTAGAAGAGCATCCGCTGCGTAAAAAGCATATGCTGGATAAGTTGGCGGTTTATTAAACTGTGCAACCCCAGATTAATAAAGGTACTAAGCCAAACAGAAAATGAATTAATGAATGAATGACACCATGCGGTCATAGTGATTATAGCGGTTAAGAATTATATTATAATTTTACTGTCTTTATTACAAACATGCTTTGTTTTAAAAACATGCACTCCGGTGCTCACCGTGACCCTAGTTCGATTCCCGCCTTACGGTCCAATACTGATTCTTCCTCTCTCTCTCCTTCCCATGCCTTCATGTCAATAATCTCTACTGTCCCAACAATAAAGGTGAAAACCCCTAGAAAATTATTATGAAAAAATAAAATTATAAATCTTATAAAAATCACAGAGAGTTGTAACAATTATTTTAACCCAAATGTTCTACAAAAGTTGTTTTCATCATAGGTGCCCTTTAATCTATCTATAAGCTAGCGTGCTACAAAACAGTGACAAAATTCACATTTAGAAAATATAAACCTCCAAAGCTTGCAGTTTGTCTCTTCTGTCTAAATGAATCTATTTTTGACATCACCTCATACTTCAGTTTCTTATTAAATTTTCTGACCAATAATGCTTTTTATTAAACACTATTTGCTTTTTTTTAAGGGGAGGCCTTACTTTGTATCCCACCTTGTCTTCATGTTTCAGTTAAATATATGTCAAACATTGAATAATAATGCCCATTTCAAAGCACATTACAGGACCTTTGATAACTAATTTTGAATCACTAATTTATTTAGTTCTTGCCACGATGAGAGTACACAATATTTTCTACTTATTTTGCTAAATACTAGTATACAGCATAAAAAGCTATTTAAAAGCATAACTAGGTTAGTTATTTTAACTAGGTAAATAACTAATTTAGGTTAATTAGGCAAGTTATTGGACAAAAATATTTTGTTCTGTAACCAGTAAATTTTTTAAAAATAATATTAATTATAATATCTTAACAATATTAATAATTTTATTTTATTAATATTTAATAATTGCTTAATTTTTTAAAAACTTTTTTATTCTAGTCAAACGAAAAGAAATAAGGCTTTCTCCACAAAAAGAAAATATTTTAGGAAACACAGTGCAAGTTTTCTTTTTCTGTTAAACTTCACTTTGGAAATATTTCAATGATAACAAAAGGGCTAATAATCTTCCCTTCAGTATTCAGTCATACAACATAGCTAGTTGTGTCTTTTTCCTTGTTGCCATCTTAAGCATTACATGGAGTTTGAGTCAATAAGTGAGTCAGTGAGATGAAATCATAAACTTTTCCACAGTTTTGTGAACAAACCACGGTAATCAACTCTCTATGCTGGTATAAATCCTTTTTAAAAGTGTACACCACTATTGAAAGTTTTAACTCAGTAAGACCTTGATTAATTTTGAACAGAATTAATACTTTCTGTTCCCTAACAAATCCACAAATGAGAACTGCTTTCAGCATGATATAAATAAAAAAAAGTTTCTTGAGCTCTGAATCAGCATATTGTGATGATTTCTAAAGAATTATGTGAGACTAAAGGCTGAGCAAAAGAGATTTATTTCTAAAAAAACATTTAATTAAATCTTACTGACCCTTGCGGTTACTGTATACAGAAAAAGTATCTCTTTCACACAGACACAAACACACACACTATGGTATGACATTGATATCCTGCTTTTGAACAGAGAGCTGTATTCTTGATTTGAAAAGACAAGTCATGTAATCTGATACATCTGCACATGAAAACCTTCTCTCATGCTACCTGATTTTCAGTAAGTCTGTCAGCTTTTTACAGTTTTGAGTCAAATGCCAGACAATACTCTTCCAGGAAAAAATGATAGCTGTTTTGCCTTTACGGTTATTCATCTGTTGTTATTTAATCGGGTCCATGCATTGGCCAGCAACACAACGAAGCTTTTATATTCAATGATTTTAACAGTTCTTAGAGTCTTCAGCCAAGAAGGTAAGAGGCTGCTCTGAGGTTATCACATTTAGCAGCATCGCATTCATCCAGCAGATGGGGCTGTGGGTTTGCAGTGGACAAGCTGCATGTCATTGTCACTTTATTAAACAAGGAATAGTTCTGTAAAATGTGCTGTCTCTTTGAACAGACCTGAAATCTTGTGCATACGTTGTATGGAGTGTGATACCTTTCTTTGTGCTCATTTTAAAGCTCAGATCCTCATAGAAACCTCTGAACGTTTTTGAGTTTAATAATGGGGTTTACTTGTTGTTATAAGATCATTGACTTTCAGCTATGCATTTACCATATTAATATTCTTTTAAGAAACAATGCTTTTATTGGCAAAGGTTTCATTATTTTTATTAAAGAATTCAGCAAATAATTTATTGCAATTTTACCCTTTTATAATGAAAATCAAGTAACTTCACAAAGCAAACTTTGTACTTTATTTAATGTTTTAAGAGCATAAATATTCAATTTAATTTCATTCTATTAATGACATTGGATGTCGTTAATTCATTTGTAGAGGCCTAGACAGGAGTTCAGTGGAGCTTTTGTAGACGCTGAACATTTTAGCACTCCAATGGCACTTTCAGTTTTCGCATGTCTGTGAAAAGCTCAACCGATGATCATGAAGTGAGACTGAGCTCAATCTTGATGCTCCAGGTTGCGCTTTCTACTTAAGCTATTTATTTTCTAAATAAAATAATTATTTTATTGTTTAATATGCACTTTATTTCTGCAGTCGGCATTTTTTTATGAGTCAGTGGAGCAATTTTGTTTCTATAAGTGTTGAGATGTTCTTCATTTCTGAGTGGGTGTTACAAAGACAAGACAGAGAGGGAAAAAGAGGCTTCTATCTCATGCTTCTCATCTTTTTATCACTTAACCGGACCAATAAGTCAAATAAGGCCACTTGTGTTTTCATGTCCAAAGAATGGCTTTATACGTCATAACCAGCAAGAGCTTGGAAAAGATAAAAGAGTAGCTTGAATTTACTGGAAGACGGATTAGACACGAGCTGCTGTTATTGTGGTTTTTCCCTATGAAGCATTAACAAGTCCACGAGAGGTCAGGTTAAAGTGTCACTCTGCAATTTTACCACCTTCTACTTTTCTTCTTTTCTTCATAGCTCAGTGTCTCCATCCTTGTTTGGATTTCTTTTAGAGCTGCCTCTTAAATGCTTTTTGATGGCATGATTAAGCAGCACTTTGGCTCTAACTGTGTGATAGCAAGCAGTAGACAACTGCCAAACATTATGTGATTACCGTAGCGTTTCAGCAATGTTGGTTGCACCTGCTTTTTCAGAGTAGTTAAAGGGAGGCTGGATGGTGTCTGGCAGAAATGTGATGATGCCCGTAAGGCTTTGAAAGCAGCTGGTCCTTGGTGGGATGCTGAATTTATTTATTGGCAGATCAAGTCGAGAAAATGACAGGGCCACAAGCTTTAGTGTTTATGTATAATTACCTCTGTGGCTCTCAGTTGCTGAAGGACAGTTTGTCCCTATAGTGCTCTTTGGCTCCAGATTTGTTGTTTTGCATGTGGCCATGAGAGTTTTACAGCTGTGCTTGTGAAATATATTTGATAAATGTGCAATGATTGTAAAATCATTGATTATACTGATTGCTAGGCGAAGAAACATTTAAGCGTTTAGGTGCAAATAACATGCATTGTAGAACCTGTACACATTACGTATGTAGCTAAAAGGCTAAGCTAAAAGGCTCTCAGTTATGACAGATAAAATTGAACTTACTAACGATTACAAACTTAGTTGACTAATGTTGGTTGTGGGAAACGCACCATGTTATGTCAGACAAGTGTGTCAGGCAATAAATAGAATTTAATCCAAAATATTGCCTTGAGGCAGATCTATGTGGTGTATAGTCTTGAAGGGGACCTGTTATAGCCCTTTTTACAAGATGTAAAATAGGTCTCTGATGTCCCTAGAGTGTGTATGTAAAGTTTCAGCTCAAAATACCCCACAAATATTATTTTATAACTCTTTGAAACTGTCCTTTTTAGGCTTTGAACCAAACTGTGACATTTTGGTGACCATCACTTTAAATTCAAATAAGATTTTTTCCCCAGCCCTCTTTTCAAGAGGCCAGAGCTACAAATGCCTATGTATCAGCATAGTGGCTGATTCAAAAAGAAGACTAACA